CTGAAGTAGCCTGCAGTGCTGCATTTAACCACTGCGCCACCTCGGCTCTTAATGTACCACTTCACAGTGCTTTTACAGCCCTTTCTAAGCGGCTTACAGAATCAGCTTATTGCCCCCAACAATCTGGGTCCTCTTTTTACCCACCTCGGAGGGATGGAAGGCTGAGTTAACCTTGAGTGGGTGAGATTTGAATTGCTGAACTGTAACTAGCAGTCAGCTGAAGGGGATGAACTGTATTTGGAGCTCCGTTGCAAAGGGCAGACAAGCACACAGGTTTTCAAGCGAGGGTGACACTCAAAACAGGACTCTTCAAAAGAAGAGCTGCGCATGGCACCTTCAAGGCAGCACAACGTCTTTTCGCTGCAAGTCAACAATGTGGAAACTTCAGTATTTGCACCTCGGCTCTTTTAGATACTTTTAGTCTGGGCATACGAACAGCACAACAAGCCTTTTTAAATAAAATCCAGCCGATACAGTAAAAATAACCATAAAATGTGACCAGAGAAAATGTCAAAAGAGAAATCTGTTTTCCAACCACGTAATGTGACAAGTTTCCAAGACCATTTCATTTTTGGCCGGACACCCAAAATGAAATATTCCATACTTCCAATAAAGTATAATATTTTTGGCTCAGGATTGAAATGAGGGGTCCTTGGTGCTCCCCAAGTTTGGTTGCTTTCTTGCAGATGTTTCATTACCCAAACTAGGTAACATTCATCCGTGCTAGCCCTGGGGATGTTAATATTATTTGAGATTAGCACTGATGACGTTACCTATTTTGGGTAATGAAACATCTGCAAGAAAGCAGCCAAACTCAGGGAGCACCAAGGACCCCCTTATTCCATATTTCAAATGCAGAATTTTGCACATAACGGCATAGCAACAAAATGTCTGGCAGAATGCGCTTTGTTCATGCTTCACCCATGCAAAATAATATGGTGGCATGCCTTAGAAGGAATATTTTATTAAAATCGCCATCAAGAGAGCAATGTTTTCTGGGATCTGGTTTGCTTTCCTTCAGGGACGTGCAGTCAGGGGAAGCAGAGCCTCACCACTGTCATCATGAAAAGAAAAAAAATGTAAAAGGAAAAAGGCAAGAGCTGAGGCCAGTCTGAGCTAGTTGCTGCCAGAGTCACCGTGGATGACTCTGCGAAACTGTTTTAAAAAGCCTGTAAAAAAGCTCCCTCTGTAGGAGGAGGCAGGAGAATGACGTGCCTCATCTAGTCTGACCTTAGGCATTTTATGATCACTCGAGCAGAGTTAAGCAAGGGCTAAAAGCCGAAAAATTCCTGACGTAGGTGAGGCACGTCGTTCTCCAGCCTCCTCCTGGAGAGGGCGCTTTTTTAGAGGCTTTTTTAAACAGTTAAGCAGAG